CGCACTGGAGCAACACAGCTTAAATCTGGCTTTTTATTGTACTTCATGACCAGCCTCCCTCTGGTTTTTGGCCCGTAGTGTACACATTTCCACAGGACACTTCGGGACAGTTCAGTTGCCAACTATTCTCTGTTTCTTACCTCTAATCAGTCATCCTCCCTTTTAAATCTGGTCACAACTCAAAATCTAAGCAGTCCTCAATATTATCTTGCTTGGCACATCCTGTCCTCAGAGCAGTAGTGCCAGGTAGGTAAGAGGACAAACCCAATGGAAATGTGTAAAAGAAATTATATTGCTATGAAGTGTCAGGGTTGCCAGGTTCCCCTATATGTTTGTCCATCAAATAACCTCTGAGAGCAAGGCATGGGAAACACCGAACATAACCTGCCCCAAATGTCTAACTGGCTCAGCGCAGCCTCCCCCAGCTCCTGTGTGGTGAGTTTCGTGGGGGAACATGGCCGACGGAAATGAGAAGGGGGCTCTTCTCTTCCAAACAAAATTCATCACTAAAAAGTTTCTGGGCCCCCGCAATGGGGCTGAGGGACAGTATGGGGTCCCAAAGCTATTCCCTCTTTGCTACACCAAATTGGAGACACACTGGTTAAGAGGGCAAAGGAAAAGAAGTCTTACACAGCTGCATTTTCACGTCTTAAGTCAGCACTCAGTAGTGGTTCAGTGAGAAATGCTGTCGGGTGCCTCTTCCTCCTGGGAGAGTGATGGTGAATAACTGTCCCCGCACTGCTCCCCCTGCATGGGGGATGCTGAGGATCCTGACAGGTCTCTGTCTCCTCTCCAGGATGAATCCTGAAAGCTTCCCCCCACGCCTGGCCCAAGAGTCAAACACATACATCTTGCCAGAGGCTAGAATTTAATGCTGATGTCAGTTCGTTCACTTATTAAACGGTGACACTTTAGACCGGCTGAGAGAGGGTCATCAGTTGCTGAGTTTCTAAATATACTAAACGCACTGCTGTGTGAGGAGGTTAGTGTTACATCCCCTTCTTCCTGGCTGATTTATCATGCCGTTACCTCAGATTCCTGCTCTGTCAAGGCTCTGCCTTTGTGTTGTCACACACCAGCCAGGCAGACTCCTGGCCGCACCTGCAAAACAGCGCGGGGAGTGCTTTATCCTTCCCTGTATCCTGCAGGAGATGCGTTGGCCAGTAGCGTTGGCCCTGGGGACAGCCCGGCAGATAGCTTTTCCTGAAGAGTGTGAGATGCTCCGATGCACGTGTGGCACGAGGCCCCTTCCTGCCCTGAGCACGACGGCACCGCAGTGCCCTGCAGTACCACTTGGCTTTGCTATGGGAGGGTTTGATAGGTTCAGCTCCATGGTTCTCTTTCCCCCTCTTTTCCCAAAGAAAATGCTGAGCAGTACCTTGTGCAGGGAGGGCTACTTGTTCAGTAGCGCGTGAGAAGGCCGCAGCAAAATACAGCTGTTTAAACCCTATTCTCTCTTACTCGAGAACATTGTGCATCCAAACCGGAGCCTCCATCAGATGCACAGGAAACTGTCAGAGTTAATTAAAAGCCCTAAAAGGCCAGAGCTATAACTCAGTGCTTTTTAAGCGCCAAGATTTTGTTGGGGTGGACGGAGGGAAATAGCCACTAATGTAATTTCCAGCAGGAGTACACTCCTCTAACATAATTTGACCTGGCTACCTTTTCAAACGCAGCCTTTCCTCGGCTGGGCTGGTTCAGGGCCTTCCTCCTAAATGCCCCAGTAATTACCGATGCAATGAAAGCATGTGTCCAGGTTTTGCTTTGGCCTCTTCAGACCTGGAGTGACACCAGCCTTCAGTGCAGAGGACCCCCAGTTTGCAGCAAAGAGCACATTGCCGGGCATGTAACTGAATGCATTAATACAGTGGGGTTTTTTCACTGACCATGTTCAATAAAGACACAAAATGGCTCATTTGCTTCGGCTTTGTTCCTTTTTTCTCTTTGATTAAGGTTTGGCAGTGCTCAGACAGTCTGCAAGTTGCACGGTCCCTTACCAGATCAATAAGCATCAGTTACTCTGAACCGAATTCCTGATCCCAATTTTACATTCACTAGCTGCCTGCTTTAGTTTGTCTTTCTGCCAGCACCTTACGTTGCCTGTAGCAGAGTTCAATAGCCCAGTACTCGGTGCTTTCCATGCAAGAGAATGGTTTCCAGGGAAGGGACGCTTGCTTTGCTGTATCCATCTCCTTAGGCAAAAGCTATCAGAGGAAGAACTTGAAAGTCCATCACAAAGTGCTCTCTGTTGCCTCACCCTTTGTGAATTAAAACATGATTTTTCCAACAACTCTTTAAAGATCTTGCGGCATTGCCTTGCCTGCATAATACACTTGAGTATCATCGAAGAATCACAGCACAGCACTGGTTTACTTCTCTTGGGTTTATTTTGGTCTTCTTTTTTTAATACATGCCCTGATTTTATGTGGCAGCAGAGTGCCAAAGCTATTGAATTGTTCCCAAAAGCAGCTAACTGGGGACTTACTACTGTTATTACCCATAAACAGCTGGTGCTCAAGGACAGTGCCTGTTCTGGGGGACTCCCAGTTTAAGGATAACCACCAATCCCCTCTCCCCTTGTCCAAATCAATGGGATTGAAATGGGAATTACACCACGCGATTTTTAGAGACATTGAGGTTGACTTCTTTAAGAAGCCATCCTTTAAGAAGGTAAGAACCGTGGCCAAGGGGCTTTGCTGTGACATTTGCGGGGCTGCGACATGCAGAAGATGTTAGAAAAGGGATGACGTGAAAGGCTGAAAAAGAAGCTGATGAAACCCAGTGCCTGCAGAGCAGCGAGGGCGTTGCAGGGTTTTGGAGGGGCTACAAAGGGTATGAACTTTGGTGCCGTTAAAGGAAATCATAAGAACAAAGAAAGGAGGTGATGAGCTGCATGGCCAGATTTATGGGCAAGGACGGGGTTGGCACCTACAATTTTGAATGATCTGAAGTGAAGAGAGACATGACGTAGGCATCTGGGAAGCCAGAGAGGTGAATGTCAGAGAAGCTGAGCTTTTAGAAAGGACAGGCAGAAAATATACCGCCCCAAAGACTCATTCATTCTCTGGCTGTCAATACACTTCCATTGCCCCTGGGGACAGACAGCACTGCCCTTCTCTGGGATGCCCTGTTGTACACAAAAGCCTCGGGCGGACAGACTTTCTGGCTGCTACTGTAAGGCAGGAGCCTCTTCCCGAAGCCTGGGTGCCGGCTGCTGGGAGTGACCAGACCCTAGGTGCCAACATCGCTGTTCCCATCATCCATCAGCACCCAACCCCGTTGTTTTCTGGTTTGCAGACGTCATCTCAGCCTCTGGTAGGAGTTACAAACCAGTCAGTACGTTACGGGGTAGCAAGAGGAGATAATCCCCCAAACAACAGCCCAAAGCCTTATTAAAAGTAGTCTATGTGACACCGATTACAATCAGAAATCAATGAAAGCACATGGTGTGTTGCATGGGTCAGTTTGGGGCTGAGGCAGCAGCAAGAGCGGGTGCGGGGATGCAAAGTCGCACTCCTGGGCTGTGCACGCCGGTGCGCCTGCACAGAGCCGGGTCCAGCGGCAGGCAGGGAGAAGCAGCAGGCGTGGGAGAGGAGGCACTGGTTTTTTTCCCTCTCATCTTAAACTACGTAATTATATTTAAAAACTGTGTTGTTAAACCCAAAATGAAGTAAGTCAAAGTAAGGACATACCAAAACTAAGGTAGCATGATTTATTGACATGAGCTGCTAATACACGCAGTAGGTAACTACATATATTTAATCATATATTAAGTGCAAGCTGGATTTTTAGTACACATTTAATACAGCACATGGTGTAAGCTCATACTATTTTTGTATTCCTCTGGAGTTGCATACTAATCATTAAAAAACTTCCCTGCAAGCATTTGCTGCTACGAAAGGCCAAGGAACTGAAATACCTCAATTAACTTTTGAACCAGACTTGCCACAATGTGTTAAGAAACTCAGAGAAGGAGGGAAGATAATTCACAGCAGACCAGGCACCATCCAGCTGAAGAATCCCTGATTAATAATAAAGCAGGTATGTCAGAAATAAGGAGGAATTATTTTTTTTTATAAGGAGGAAAAAAAATTTTTTTTGCCATTTTTAAAATCATATGTACTTAACACCCTACCAGATGTTTTTCTTTTGCTTTATCATCTGAGGGGAAGAAGACAGTAATGGTAGTAAGAAACTTGTTTCATGTCTTTTTTTTTTTCCCTTATATTTACATTCCTTTCTTTCTGTTAAGATGCTGAATTGTTTGTGCTGTATTAATAAAGTCTATTTAAAATCCATGCTTTGTGAACGTTTTCTGACCAGAGTGAGGCACCCCTTCCTGAACATGTGCAGCATAGTAGAATTTTACCTATGCAATCACAACTCCTGTTCACATTTCCTCCCCTCCGTGCGCTTGGCTTTGCAACTTCAATGTCCTTCGGAGGTAGGAGCTTTTAAAAATGATGCGACTTAAAACTGAAGGTGAAAGGCCACTGGGATTACCAAATTTCTCAAAGACTCCAGCTTTTTTTGGGGGTAGAGATGAACTCCTTGGAGAAGGTGAGGAGTTCAGATGAAGTCTCTCCAAGCCCAGGATGGTAACACTCAGCAGATGCTGCCAGAGGTTCAGCCAGAGGGTTGGCCAGCAGGACGTGGCGCTGAGGATGTGGCTGTCCCCGGGAGCCTCCTGCCGGGATACACGCTCCCGCGTGCTGTGATGCTGCTGGAACCCGCCGCTTGCACAAGCACAGGAAATCAAAAGGCAGCTGTGCTCGTGCCCAGGTTTCCAGAGCTTGTGTCGGGCAAGTTCCTTGGCCCAGTGGTTCCTTGACCTTTCATTAAGACCTCTGTTTAAAAAAAAAATGCAACGAGAAGAAAAATTTTGAACTATTGAACTGGGCTACAGATACTGGTGGCTTGACTTCACAGCAGCATAAAGAGCCCAGGTAAGCGGTAGCCACAAAGAGTACACTAATTTTGTTTTTGTTTTTTTTGATTGGTGATTTCCAGTATCACTTTGGACATGCAGAGTTAAAGTCTTCTATACAGGTGGTAAAAGTTGTATCCCTTTCTTGATTACTTTAATGCATTATCATTATAACGCAACATCCACCTTTATTTAACCTTTACCGAAGCACCAGTGTAAGTGCAGCTGTTGCAGTGCCGTCACTAGTACAGATAACTCAAACATTTCAAACAGTTGTGTACAGCATCAATGGCGAAGCAGAAAAGAGTGGCTTGTATGAAAATAACACCTTGATTTGAGGCTTTTAGTCCTGAATTCTGCACATCCTTTGTTTCATTTTCTTCTGTTATAGACTCTTTTTCACATAACATTTAATATGCTTCCCATGTGAAATTTGCTCTTTAATGCTTGCTAATAAATAAGTATATAATTACCCTGACTCCTATCAGAGCTAATATAGTTGAACAAACTTTCTGAAAAACAAAAATACATGTACATTACACAGCATGAATGAGCATCCATAAATGCCCTACTCCAAGATCTGATTTACAGCGATACAAAAGTGAGAATGTACACTGGGGGGTACCCCAGACATGATGGTGGAAACAGCGAGCGGGAGAGAGGGGGAGAGAGGACAGGGTATGACCGGTAACTGAATGATGGTGGTCAGGTGGACAAGGGGATGAAAACGAAAAGACCTTCCAGTGTGGAAATCAGAGTGAAGGCGATGTGTACGTGGTCACGCTGTGGTTTCAGGCAGGTAACCGATGCTGTCCCAGCCCCTTTGGGGTCACGCAGAGCCCAGTCAGCTCGACAGAGGTGAAAAATACGGAAATATGTTCCTTCTTTATCTTCCATCCTTGTCTGACTTTCTCCTGGGAGAGAGCTCCTTGGCTATTTCACAGTTTATTTGTCAAGTTTGGCCTTTGTGGTCTGCAGTTTCAGGCCTGCTGTGACTGCTTGCGTTTCCGTGCATGCACACAGACACACACAGCCAAAGGTCTTAGCCCAAAGGTGAAGTTAACCAGCTTTTTTGCCTGATTTGCTGATCTTTAAAGCACTTACTGAAGGTCCTTTGCTCCTTCGACCCACGAAGGTGTATAGTTAACCTTAATGTCGCTGAAGTCATCGCTTACGTGGATACAACACTTGCAAAGTTCACATTGTAATAAAAGTCTCTATAAACACCGCATCCAAGATATGCTTCGTGTTTATGCTGAGAAGGTTTAAAGACAAAGACCCTGAAGAGCTTACATGTAGGTTTAACAGTGCTAAGTCGAGGTAATTGTTACACGATATTCCTGGTTAGTGAAATTCAGTTTCCAGTAGCTTAACGTCGCATTTGTGACGGAGAGCAAGTTGCCATCCACAGCCACATGGAAGTCTTACTGGCAGACACTGTTTGACATTTCTCTATTAAGACAGGATGCAGTGGTCCTATTTTTTCCCAATCTGAGTTAATTTAAAAAAAAAAAAAAAATCTGAAAATGGCCATCAGCAGCATGACGTCTGTTTGTTTTCACACAGAGGTGGGTAGGGTTTTTTTTTTGTCCCGGTCCTTCTTGGTTAGATGATAGTGTAGCACCTAGCACCCCGCTACATGTGGGATGCTACCCACCTCCGCTCCCGTCATGTGAAGTATCGACACTGTGTAGAGTCAATGTAGCAGTAAGAAGTGCATCGCAATTTTCCGTAAGACCTAAAAAAGAGAGAATATCTCAGTTTCAAAGTATACTATAGTTCACATTATACAGTTTCTGGATGTAATTCTCTGTAGGAGTGAAGAACATCAGAAAATGCCATGTGCAGCAACATATGGGAACCAAAATAAGAGGATAATTTCCATCAGTGCTCTACCGTGCTCCCTCTTGTCAGCAAAATAAGAGTCCGGGAGAAACTATGAGCGAAGACTTAATTCCCAGTAACGTCAATTAAAAAAAAAAAAAATCCCCAATGGCAGTGGGACTTGAGCGTTATGTGGGGGTAGGTGCAGGAGGCCTTGGCGCTCACCCACGGGAACTCTGTAATGAAATATCTGAAGCTCCGAGTTAAGTGTTTTTCCAGTTACTTCCAATAGGTCCAGCAGCTGTGACTGTGCCTGTCCTTTAGCTTACATTTCATGTACTTGAAATAATGATAGTGACACGTGTCCACCTTTGAAATAAAAAAAAAGTAAATGGAAGCGTCCTTGAAAAATAAAGAAAACCAGAGATTTTTGTCTTTCTCCTGACTTAAACTGAGCTGCAGTGACTCTACCTACTAAAGACCTAACCAGAGATGTTAATAAAGTAAGCATTTTGATGAGTTTTTATTGCTAGCATATGTCTAAGTGAAAAACCCATCCATCAGATAATCCACAAGCTGTGGATTAAGCAGCCATTAAGCAGGTCCTTAAAACTATGTCCTTGGATAACCCACATTCTCAGAAAACCGACATAAAATTTGAACTGAAGGTGTGTGAAATATGAGGAGGGATTTGGGGGCTGGAAAGAGTAGAAAATGGGAAAACCAGTTGCAGCAGAGCTCTGGGAGGACAGGGTGCTTTGGGATGAAACTCCCACAGGGGTGCCAAGCTCACATACTTATCCCATTTTACTGATGAGTCACAGCTTTTTCTTTACTTTAGCAGATGATCTGCAGACTGCACACACAAAAATAAAGGATTTCGGTTGCTCTTCACAACTTGATTATACACAGAAAATGAAATTTAAAAAAAATTCTCAAGCTTTTGTGGTGCTATTTTTGCACCAAACTTCAGACTCTTAAAAGAGAATAGTTTTTACAGTAGAAAACAGCTCCAAGCTGTCTGAAGATGAGATCTCTGTAAAATGTTTCAGGTTGTCAGGTTTGCTGGTCTCCATTTTAGTGATCTCTCACACCAAGAGTGCTCCAACAATTGCAGCGGAAGGATTAGCACAGCACCTGACTTACAAAGACATCCTGTGGTTTCTTACTCCTGTCAATTAGCACATTATTCTTCCATGAAAGATGAGGGCTCTGCACATAATTTCATTTGCAAATTAAATGTTTCCTGTTAGCCAGTAACAATACCTGACAGTTAAATAGACGTACTGCTGTTGGAGGCAAAATGCTGACCAGGGGAAGCTGCTTAAACAAAGGCAGAGGAGGCAAGTCGACAATAAGCAGATGTTTTAAATGAAGGACATTGTTAGGTAGATGCATGGCTTTGCATCTGCTCTTGAGTGAATTTCCTGGTCTTTGGAAAGGCTGATAGCTGGCCGGTTGATTCAGAAACGAAGATACCCCTAGAGTACCCATTAACGGTAAGGGCAACAGGGTTTTGTTTTTTCCTTCAGTGTGATCATTTCCTTCTCATGCTCTTTCCTACTCTTGGTGTGTTATGGGTGAACATTAATGCAATGATAATGTCACCAAACGAGGAAATGTTTGCAGGCAATGGGCAAACATACGTCTATGTGACCTTCATTCATTTTGTACAGTAAGAGGCATGTGCTTATTACTGAGAGATGAGATTTAGCCCTTCAAGTCAGTGATATGTAGAAATAATCTGATAGACTCTTTCTCCCCCACTGCCTGCAGTGGTCCCAGTGGAACAAGATTTAAGTGAGTCATACTTTTCTGTTTTAAAGCTGACAAAGAGAAAAAAGAAAAAAAAACCCAACAAAAAACCCCCGAACCAAAGTGAAGACAGCTCATACATACCCAGGGAGATATGTTTTACATGTCAAATATCCAAAATCCTTCCCGTCGCAGTCTTCAACCCCCTCGTGCCTGTAGCCATCTCCGCAGTAAGCACGGCGGCATCCTAGTGAAAAACACAGAAAGAAATACCTTCAAGGCACTTCATATGTAAAAGAGGCAGGTGAGGTAAGTGGAACTAGATTTTTAAGGGTAAAGTATAAAACAAGGCATTTTGGGGAGGGCATCCTGTAAGGACTGACTTACGTACAAAGAATATGCTTTTTTTAGCCTAATTTCAATGACCAAGGGAAAGAATGTATAACTACTAAAAATAATTACTACAGAAACACTAATTACAACAGCATTTATTCTAATAATTATTATTATAATAGATAATTGCTGTCAAAACAAATTAAAGGAAGCATAAAATACAGTTAACATAAATGATTTGGGGAGTTCACAATTTCAAAAAAACACTCTGAGGTCATTAAGTGGTTTGAAAATCCCAACCTAGACCTTTACCCAATATGGCACAACAGCTATGTGTGTCTACAGCAAGTGAGTTCCCACATAAGAACAGAATTACGCAGACCCATTGCCTGCCTATCAAAAAAAGAAGTAGTATGTAATGATTGCCAAAAAGGTGTTTTTCCCACTGCTGACTCCTACTGACTTGAGCGTGAGTGGGCCTTGGCACATTTTTTCATGGTGACTGGCACGTAGGCTGCAGTCATTTGTGGGTTTGTTTGCTGTTTTAGCAACTGGACTTCGCTTTTGATGTCTTCAACTTTTTGAGTATGACGTTATAACTTGAACAAATTCATTTAGCTAAAATCCCTTTGACATCTTCTCGGAGACACTGTTAAGCAACGGATTAAAAAGACGCTCAAGAATAGAGAGTTTATGAGAGTTATAGTGGGTTATTTACATATAGAAATGATTAATTAATTGCACCAAGGATCCATTTGTTAGAAATTGATGCTTCTAAGAACAACAAGCCTATTTTACAATTAAATCCACTTAACATTTGGTTAACCTTTTTCTTTTGGTTGAGTCACAAGAGCAGAATGATGACAATGTGCTCATTTACAAGTAACTCAATGATAACTCTTCGGGTCACATCAGTGTCAGAAGTCTATGTATTGCAAGGCCTCAATTGACCTGAAGCTTTGCCCACTGTATAGCACAAAGTAACACAATGTGCCTCCAGACACACAATGTACAATTTTGCAGGCCCTAGAACTAACGAACTCTATTTTCCTGCATGCTTGTTCCCCACGGTTGATTGCAAATTCTAATTGAATCATTTTCTCATGCTTGGAGCCTGGAGAGCTCATGCTCTCTCACTGAATTACTCTGCAGTCAGGCAAGCTCAGAGGGGCATTTATTTATATGTCTCCCTATACCTTTTGCAACTGAATTGCCTTTGAAATCTCTTTCCTGTTGTCACTGAGAAGTTGGCTGGGATTCCTAAGTTATAAGGGGAAGGGTGTTGATGGACAGGTGGATAGACAAACTCACATAGAGCGTGGCTGCATAGACCTTATTTTCAAAGTTAGGCTAAAAAATGGAGGGCTATATAAATGAAAAAGAAAAACTGCAACTTTCGGTGTTGGCTGATACCTGTTCTGAAATGTGAAGAAGCATCCCTTTGCTAGAACCAACAGAGTACCAAACCTGCTGTGTGTCAGCTGCAGATCACGTAGAGTGCTGCGCTCTGGGGAAGGAATCAAGCGGTAAAAGTAACTGAAAGGTAAATATGAAGGTTGCCACAGCTGCTTGTATGCTTATATGCTCTTTGCTATCCACAACCAGCAAAACGAAAGGAAGCTTGACTAGGCAGGAATCAAATGTTTTAGAAACTTAATAGTGAAGGTAGTGGGCTGACACCTTCCCTATGCAAGTGAATAACAAAATCCGAAGCGGTTTTACTGGACCCAGGATCTAGCTTACTATTAGAAACAGCCAGCTCCAGTGTCTGTCCTAAGGGGTTTTGTGGTGCACTGCAAAGGTATGCTACATCTTTTGGCCAGAAAGCTGGCAGCCCCTGGGGAAGGTGTGTATGTAAACCAGCTGAAATGCAGCGGTTTTGCTCTGACTGCAGACACCTCTGCTCAGTGAGGTACATGGTCCTCAATGAGGATGCACGAGAAGGACTTGGCATCACCTCTGCCTCGTGCTGGGTGATGCATCCACATGCATGAAGGACCCCAGTTTTCGCCCTGTGGCCATTGTGCCTCCCTCTGCCATGCCTGCACTCAATCCACAAACCACGTAAGCTACCGAGTGAAACACTTGTGTGATTTACACAGCAGTGTACCCTGTGGAAACAATTAATGCACCTTCCCAGGTAGAAAGAGGCTGCTTTTGATGCGCTGTAACTTACTTATACAGTCATCCGTCACAACCGCATTGCCATCGTCACACTCTTCCCCATCCTGTACGATCCCGTCTCCACAGGTACCGCCATCCTCGAAGTGGTAATCCACGGGATAGAAAGGGGTGAGCTGGCCAAACAAACACACAGCGGTTACTGAACTGGACCACGAGCAGCCTGGCTAGCAAGCAGAGGTGAAGGGCTGTGGGAGGCAGATCCCGCAACTGGGTTTTCAGATCCTGCTATTTGGTGCTTATACAGAATCTGATTCAAAGTCCAGTGGACACAAGAAGGATCCTGCTGCTGATTTCAGTGGGAGTTTAGTTTAGCTCCTTGAAGCAATAAGGAAATACATGGTTTTGGTTTGCAGGGTTTGTGTTTTTCCGCAACTTAGTTCCCTGGTAAGTTTTGCCTTATTTTGTATTAAATAAAAAATGCTCTTTACTATCATGATTCCCCGAACTCAGCCCCAGTTTGTTCACCAGTGGAGCCTCATTCACAGGAAGGTTAGCAAAACCTGCAACACTGTTGAGTTAATGCCTCAGAAATTAAGACTCCTGTGAACAAAAACATCACTACGTACAGTTGTGGCAGTGCTCAAAAATTAGCTTTTTCTCCATTTGCTTCATCGATTCTGTATGACACCTTAAGTACAGAAATATGTTCTGTATTTAAAAATGAAACATACACTCACGAGTTTTCTGAGACCACAGTCATATTTTCACCTGGATTGGGAGCCATCCAAAGGTATCCTTGAAATACAAAGATCTCTGATCTCTTCTGAAAGCTAAGGCATTTTCGGTGTTTAACTGGTCCAATTCTTCTTGATTATTCACCACAAAAATCTGGGGCACAGAAAAAGAGGTGACTGGTAACCCTCTCAAGAAGTATTTTGGATTGTCATGGAATCTAGTTTTGCCAACTGACATATGTAACTGCAAATAGGTAAATAATTACACAGAAAAATGGTTTGGCTGTTTTCAGAAACAGAATGTTGTGAGAACTTACACTCATGGACTGCCTGACTGTAAGAGTCTCCTTTGTGACTGGTAAGAAGAGACACGAGTTTCCAAAGGAGAATGGTCTTTCCTGAGCGCCTAGCTAGGGCTCCAGTGGCCCCTATTTCAAAATGCACATCCACAGGTAATGATCATGCAAATACTCGTGCACAATCATTGCTGAGAAAAACTGTCAGATGCTCAAATCGTTAGATGCTGCAACAATTGCAAAATCCATATGGGCATAAGTGCTTTTTGTGGGTTTGTCTAATTTTTTAGGCATGCTCGTGGCTACGAAATAAATAATGCATTGCATAATGCAACCTTCACTTATTTTTTACTACTTTGTACTTTGTTTAGATTTAATTGGCATTGAAATGCATGTTTCTTTATATGCATATACTTTAGTCTAAAGCCAAGTCTTCAATTAAACAGAAAAAAATTAGTTAAAAATGGAAGAATTAGGATGAGCTGCTTTCTTACCAATTTTTTTAATGTCTCAGTCACTGAAATTGGCTGTAAGGGGCATTAGGAAATAATGTCTTCCTTCAGCAGCTTAATCAAATTAATTTTAGCAAGATTCAAAGCATTTTCAAATTAAGAAAAAGCAAAAGGAGTGCTTCTGAGCAAAATGGATTTAGGGCTAAGCCTGATTCCCACCAGCATAAACAGAATTGGCTCTTTTTAAAACAAATTACCCTGAAATTTTTACATAGCAGAATATTCCCATAGCCCTTGACAAAGGCCAATCTCATTAAAGAAGCATTGAATAAAAATGCCTTCAGCTTGAATGAAAGAAAGCAAAGAAATAGAAAGCCAGCAAAGAACTGATTCTGTAATCGTGTTGAGGAGCTCAAGTCTCAGCCCCAGAGCTCTAATTTCTCTTGAAATCAATAGCAGATCTGTGCTCTCTGAAACTCTCTGTTACAGATACCGGCCTTTGAAATTGCAAAAGATTTAAAAACCGGAATGAACCTTAGCCAGTGACAGAAAACCAGCGCTTTGTTTCTTAGCCTCTCCCCTCCTCTGGCAGTGCTGGCACCAGAGGAGGTGACAGGCGAGTGGGTGATTGCACTGGGCAGGTGCTGCAGTAGGATGCTGCTTTGGCCAACCACCCAACGCGGGGACACGGGGCACAGAGCACCATCTCTGGGGCCTTTCCATGTGCAGCTATAGCAACCCTGACAATAGTCGTCAAGTGGTACAAGGCAGGCTTCAAAGCTGCTACATGGAGATCTGAACAGAATAAATAATAGCAACGTTTAAGCTCCCGCTCTTGACGCTGGAGGGAGTAAAACAAATGGGGCAGGCAAAGGGGGAGCGCTGCTCTGCAAGCAGTCCACTTTCAGAGCTGAGGCTTGCCTCTTTGCCATCCCTCATTTCTGAGAACAGAAATGGCACTTGATCATCATCAAATGAGGGTTCATAGAGATAGTGTAGGGTACTTATATTTTAGGTAGTTATGCTCTCATTACCATCTTTTAAGATCTAATATGAAACTGTACCAGATGGAGGAGGGTCATAAGACCTACACGGAATATTGCAAGCCTTATACCTTGTCCTATGAGCTCTCCATGCCGTGAAGTACGTGATAGTTTTCTGCAACAGTGTGCAGCATGATGTGATATGCACCTTTATTTCATGCACGTTCTTCTCTCACCATTAAGTTTTAAAAATAACAGGGCTTTTCTGTAATGCAACACAGACAGGGATGAGCGAGCAGCTGGCAAGACTTGCAGCACAGTAATGCAAAAGATTGAGTTCAGTGACCCAGTTTAGTGGACAGTGTTGTGAGTATGTCCCTTTCACAAACTGTAACAGCTTTCTGACAAAGTGACAGATGGGAAAGTTAACAAAGCTAATCGCTGCTTATCGTCATTCAGAGACAACCAGACACCAGCAATATCCACTTGCATGAGTGGAGGGGCTGGGCTATGCTGGTACACAGCAGCAGCAAGGTAGCATTTGCATTGCTGATTATGTGCTACAATGCACAGAATAATAAGGCAGGGACCAGCAGAAGGGAAAATACAGAAATAGTATTTACAAGGCCCAAAGAAGTCAGAGGTGAGAAATTGCTAGGTTGCTTTCCAGCAATGACTTGTCCTTTAAAGTACTTCATCCAATTTGCTTGTAAAAATGCTTTCAAGAAGGCTAGAGATTGAAATTAGCTATATAAAGTGTATGTCTACAGACAGGAGCTCAGAAGTCTGACTCCCATGGTTCGTGGAGACTCCTTTTTGGTTCAAGGTAGAGGGTCTGTGCTTTGGGAGAAAGTTCTATCTTACATGCAAAATGCTTGACCCCAGTATTCAATTCTGAAATCCCTGTCTTTGCAGAAGAAGATATAAAAAATAAGCAAGAAAGAGATGCTTACTTCGCTGACCAATCTGAAACATACTTCAAATTACTGAAATAAAAAGAACAGATTATATATGTACAGTGGCAGATGGAAAAGAGCATCCTCAGGCTTGTAAAAACGTTTCTAAACACATGCTACATTACTGATGGTTTGAAACAGCTGCGTTTCAGCACCTCGATCACACAATCCTCAGACTAGTTATGAGACCGGATAAGTCTTTTGCACCGACTGGATCTCAGAGGTTGTGGATACTAGAAATAACACATTGCCCACATACAGACATCTTCCCTGTTAAATCCAAAATACTAGTGAATACAACACCCCTAATAATAAAAGTATTTAAGAACTGCTCACATCCTCTCCCAGAAAATCTGCTTACCGCGGGGACTTTTGGATAACTGTGTCCAAACACAGGTTCCTCATATGGTGGGTTATTCACATGTTGTGGGGATCTGCAGAAACATCTCCCAGGAGGCCCTGGAAGTCCTCTTTCCCCTTTTGGTCCTATTGCAAATTGCCCTAGGAAGCAAAATACCAGGTTGCCTTGTTATGAAGTTAACATACAAAACACAAATGCAGCCTTAGTGGAAAAAGTACAGGTCAGGTGGATATATGCATTTCCATCAATTTTCAGAGATGCACGTCTCCCACCAAATCCATTGGGAACTGAAGGAAATGATTACCAGAACCATCAATTCCAGCACTTCAGGAGAAAGACCAGGGTTTGGACCACAGTCATTTTTTTTCAGATCACTTTTTAAATTTTTCTACCAACTTTGCAGAGAAAAAGAGAGGCCATTTACTTAGGATTTCTGGATAAATGTCAGCCTGTTTGAAGCTACAGAAATTCAGGTCATGATGAACACACAAATCACTCTACAGCACCTATGCACTGAGTTTAGTAGAGTCAGACTCTGTAGGCATCCACAACACATTGGACTTGTGCATTTGTGCAACCACTTGAGCAAAGCTGTTTCAAAGGTTTCTGTACAAGAAAACCCAACCAGAAATACAGGAGTGCTACAAATAAAAATTAAAAAAAATACTGCTTTTTGACTTTCAAACTTTGGCAAGGATGCGCTACTCTGCAGAATTAGACTATGAGCCAACATGTTCACACTGGAAGCAGTGACATCATTACAGAAAGGTCATTTAGGATCAGAATTTATATTCTAGAGAAAAAAGATTAACAAGCCTTACACATAAACTTTCTGTGGATAGAATAAAGCCTTTAGAAAGTAATCTCAAGATCCTGGCTGCCTTCCCATCAGCATGGTGAAAATTCCGCCCTCTGAAAACTTCCAGCTATTTTACTCAGGACAAAGATGTTTCATAATGGGAGACATGAGATTTGTGAAGATTTTGAAGCAGTCCCCAGCTTCACAGATGTACCATTTCTAGACCACCAGAAGGAAGAGACCTCCTGCCCACTGATGTAAGCAAGGGAAGAAAAAGGGAAAGCAAAATGGAAGAGGACATTGAACAGATTGGCTGCAGTGTAAGCAACTGTTGTCCATTTGAGGCAACAGCAGTTTCCAACTGGTTTTGCTTTTCTTTTCAGGTACTTTAGTAATATCCAGGTTGAGAAAACCCTACCTGAGCGTTCACTGCCACTGAACATTGTGGGTCATGTATTGTCCTTCATGTCTATGCTTGGTCTCACAAGCTACCTAGCGTTCATGTGCATGTATAGCTTTGAAACTGTACAATTATCTGTTAGAAGATTTTTCTCATGATTTCTACAACACGCACAACTGCAGCGAGCATAGATCTCCAGCACTTAACCTAAAAGAGAGAGTTTTTTCCACCACCCTTTTTTTCCCTCTGACTCCTACCCCTTTCCTTCTCTTCCCTTCTTTCCTTACTGCCATTGTGACTTGAGTCTCATCTGTTTTTCTTTTACAGAGCTGCACAGGGTGAGTATGTCCTGGCCTGATTAGAAATTGCAGTCTTTCACTGTAAGCCAGGATATCTGGGGAAGCAGCAGACCTTTGATGATGGAGATTAACTAGTCCCTCCAAGGCTGCCAGATGGCTTTTCATCATCCCCATCTACCAAAGTCCCACAGGTACCACACAGGCCATGTTTTTGGTTCTATTTGAAACATCAGAAGCCATAATGTAGGCTTTAAAGGAAGGTATAGAGTCCTTATAATGGACAAGGATGGCATGACCTGCCTTCAGGAGAAATCCTCTCCTTGCTGTCAGTGGAGAAGCAAATGAAGCCCCGCAGCACTTTTTGTAAAGGGGCCTATGTAGGAATATGTGATGACTCAGGAAGGGCTGGGGAGCAGGGACACTGTTTAGGAAATCACCCGATCTCCTGCTTACCTGATGCTGAAGGTCCAGGGGGGCCCGGCTGGCCAGAAGGACCAGGCCTTCCAGGTGGACCCATGATACCCGCAGGTCCAATGTCTCCCTTTAGTCCCTAGGAGAGAGGAGACATCCATTTATTTGCTAAAATATTAATAACACACAACCTCTTCCAGCCAGCACTGGCTTCCCTTTCAGGAAAGACAAGACATTTGCCAATGGGAGCATGCAGCATGAACTTCATAGCCACCACCCCAGGGAAGAGGTGCTGTCCTCTTCTACATGGAGACAGAAAAGCATGCCCAGGCATGAATTCTGCTCCTAAAAGTGAATGGTCCCAGCAGATCTGCTCTGTGTGGAGTCAGGAATCACCCTGCTATAACTCAAATCATTTGGTGGCCTTTCTTTAAGGATGCCTTTTTACCCCCCGGTAGCTGTCTAGGAGTTAGTGTGGCTCAGAAAGAAAGGGCTGGTGGAGCTGAAATAGGTGACCCTGGAAATCCCTAGTTACTGCACTAATACACAACAGGGGAAAAAAAGAGAAAATTCAATAAGGCATTGGCAAGGGCTTCCACAGTGACATTTCCCAGTTTTATGGTGCAGTTTTTCAGAAGCACGTGTCCTGCTTTCGGCTGGGATAGAGTTAATTTTCTAGTAGCTGGCATAGTGCTGTGTTTTGGATTTAGCACGAGAATGATGTGATAACACACTGATGTTTTAGTTGTTACTAAGCAGTGTTTATACTAAGTCAAGGACTTCTCAGCTTCCCATACTCTGCCAGCGAGGAGGTGCACAAGAAGCTGGGAGGGAGATAGCCAGGACAGCTGACCCAAACTGGCCAAAGGGATATTCCATACCATATGACATCATGCTCAGTATATAAGCCGGGGGTATTTGGCCATGGGGCAGTGGCCGCTGCTCGGGGACTGGCTGGGCGTCGGTCGGTGGGTGGTGAGCAATTGCATCAATTTTTTTTACTTCCCCTGTTTTTTGT